ACATACATTTCAGAGATAGTCTTATGTTTATAATCTTCCAAAACCTTACAAAAATTTTTTTTCAGTGCATGAAAGTCTAGGTTTTCTTCCATCTTCTAGACTGAAAATACTCTGCTTATTTCCTTATATGTACTTACTTTCTTGTGTAATTTCTGTTAACAATCAGTGCCATTTTCCCATTTCAGAGCTAGGATTACAGTCTTTGAAGAATATACAGCAAGAATGTCTTCTATTTGCTTTTACCATAAAGAAGGAAAAGGTCTTACTTTTCCTCCATAGTCACACTCTTGGTAGGTTTATTATATAGGTTTCCAATATCTCAATCCTGAAATGATATAATATACCCTAATAGCCCCATTTCAAGAATCATGGCTCTCACCAAATAATACATCCAATCTAGTGCAGGAAAGAAATAAACAACCAGGTCTGATCCTCCCCACACCCTCACCCCCATGTTGAATTAACTTAGTCTTATTATACATGAAACTGATGACACTAACAGAATGATACACACACACCACAAACCCAGATATAAACTTGCACACAGGTATAAAGTATATATGAATACACACTAGGTGTTATTATAGAAGGCACATAAAATGCTTCAAACAGTATTTCTGGCATTTAGAAGAAACTAAACATGGGAAGTTGTGAATGTCTCTCTGTGAATGCCTTTTCCTTAAATGATACAAACCTGCAGTGATGATCATTAGTGTCTTAACCCAGGCATGACAAATACTATTCAAGTTCTGTTAACTCAGAATATTATAGTTATTGTGTAGCATACTGCACTTGGAAAGATGTGAAGCCCATGACAGGTCTTGGTAAAAATGAATACTGCGATCTCTTAATGCTGTCAATAACTAACTCTTCAGGAGGTAACAAAGTAATCTATTCTCTATCAGTGACCTAAATCTAATTTCCTGTTTGTATGGAACCATACTTTTTGAAGGATGAAAGGATGTATAAACTCACATTCAATGAGCAGAATTTTGCTAAATACTTTGTAATTTCTAATTATGAGATACAATGCATTATGTTTCAATCATGAGTTAATTACTAAGCATTAGTGAAACTTACTAATTAAATTTAATTGTAGGTGAGAGTCAGCCAATTTAGGAATATGAAATACAGTATCAATATATTAAGTGAAGCTGCTGACTAGGGGTAGTGGGAAAGGGTAACTGTATTCAGGGATACCAGGTCCCATTCACAAACCACAGTGTCAATTTGCCCCAAAGCATTGTGGGAGGCACACGCTGCACAACATTAAGTGAAATCCTAGTGCCTGAATAAAAAGAAAGGAGCATTACAAAACTTAGTAATGAACTTGTTTACTCCTTTACAGCTTATATAGGGAAGACAAGGTCATTCACATATATTAGTTTAAGATTTTATTTCCCTTTTGTCATTGTCAAATCATTAGCAAAGATAAGGACAACTTTAATACAGCATCTGCTCAAGGAACTCAACATTTAAAATTAGCAAGGTTCAATTTATTGATGTTTTATTGACCTGCCACTCTACTCATTTTGATAAACTGTAGTGCCTCAGTGGAGACCGGCAAGCAGAAAATTTCCCTGGGCAATAATAATTCTCTTGTCTGTGACAATTCATTTAAAGTACTAAAACTGTGCTGTTTTCCAGCATCTTGTGGCATTCAGACATTTCATGAACAGCTGTATGTTCTAAAGTCAACAACAATCTTAGACAATTACAGCCCCTGGACAATGGACTAACTGTGTAAATACTTGGTCACATCCAGGAAGAGGAATTCTAACCATGGAAATACACTGCATTTTGTAGAGGAACTAGATCATCAGTGAATTTTGGAGTCCTCTTCTACGTTAGCTTTCTATGATGTCTAGCATACCTCTTTCTGGCTGTAATTCTTCACCCATGAGGCTTGTAAATGTTAATGTCCTGATATGTTAGTGTTTCTATGGACTTTAATATCCAACGTCAAAAGAAACCCAGATCACCAAATGATTCCATATAATAAATAAGAAATTGGCAGTTCATTTTCCCCCTTGCAGCTGTGATGGATGAAGTAGACAGATGCCATCCTTTGCTTGGTGCTGAGGCAGACACGGCAAACGGGAAACATTTATCAAGTAGGAGGACTTTCAGTGATTGTAACATTTGCTCATACAATGTGGAGAGATATCAAAATCATTTATTTTTTCAAAAGCTATTCATTCGATCATTGATTCTCTCATAAAAAATATTTTTTGTTTCTTATGTGCCTGGCACAGTTCAAAGGGGAATAAAGCAGTGAAATTAAACAATGACCCTGCCCTTGTGACATTTATATTTTAGCCGAAAAACCAACAATGAGCAGACAAGGTAAATTATATATATACACATACATATAATATATATAATCCGAAGGGGATAAGGAAACAAATATGTGAAGAGGTCTAGAACATACTGAGACAATGAACGGCAATGTTAAATCAGGCAGCCAACGAAACACAATAGAATTGTACAAATGTCGAGAGGTTATTTCAGACTGTGTGGTCAGGAAAGAATTTCCTGCAATGCTAACAGCTGAGCCAAGACCTCAATGACAAGGAGATAGCCATATCAATATTTTGGAGGAGAATCTCCAAAGGTCCTTACTGAGTAGGCAGCCTGGACTATTGCATGAACTGAAATCAGGGTGTCCAGAGTGCAGTAAAAGTGCAGCTGGACAAGCAGAGAGAAAATCCCAGAGATAGACAGGGACAGGTCAAACCGGCCAAGGTAAGATTTTCCATCTTCTTCTGGGTCTGTATATAGCAGGAGCACCTTGGTTGTGGGGTACTACTCCCCAAACGTGGTCCAGAGAGCTCTCCTCTCCCTCTGCAGTGCTCCTGGGGCTTACGTGTCAGCCCTGCCTTCAGTTAGACCATCAAACACTAATTTGCCAGGTATGCTGCTAAATGATGGGAATGCAAGAGGGGCGCGCTACCCCTGCCCTCTCACAGTGTATATTTCATTGGAGAAGATGTAATGAAATGATCACAAGCATCATGAGGTCTAAGATTAAAGATGTATTAGTGATATTTATAATAGAATTGGGTTAACCTAGCCTACAGCCTAGGTCCAATATATGTGTAGCAATAAAACAGTATTTCATCTTACATATTTCACCCCAAAAAGTCATTCTAAGACTATCTACTATAAAAATAAAATAGATTAAAAACCTCTACTTATGTAGTGCTCCGTAATTTTCTATGTCCTTTCATATGCAGTGCTCCATTAATATTCACAATAATTGTGACAGAGGTTAGCCAGTTATAAGTATCTCCTTTTCAAAGACAAATAACTTTGAGATGACATGAAGGGACCTGGAGAGTATTCTCCTAAGTAAAACAAGCCAATCAGAGAAAGACAAATATCACATGACCTCACTTATTTGCGGAATATAATGAACAAACAAAATGATGAACAAAATAGACCCAGAGACATAGAAGTAGGGTACAGACTGACAAACCTCAGAAGGGGGAGGGGGAAGACATAAACCATAAACCATAGAACTTATATGCAGGTATGCGTAACCAATGGACATAGACAACAATGCTAGGGTTGGAGTGGGGGAGGGATCAGAAGGAGGGTGTTAATGGGGGGAAAAGGAGAAACATCTGTAACAAAAATAAATTAATTTAAAGAAAGAGAGGGAGAGAGAGAGAGAGAGAGAAAGGAAGGAAGGAAGGAAGGAAGGAAGGAAGGAAGGAAGGAAGGAAGGAAGGAAGGAAGGAAGGAAGGACAGACAAATAAGCTGAAGCTCCCAGAATTTAAATGACTTTTGTCTACATTCATGCAATGAGTTAGTAATGTATACAGTCCTAGCATTTTTCTATATGTTCAATATCACCAGCAGTTTGGTCTAAGATAAACATAGAAAACTGTTTCCCCAAAAGTACTAGGCATTTTGCTCAGAGGAAAAAGGAAGAGAGAACATACATAACATCCTCATTCTTTAGAAATATAGAATCTACTTAGGGAGGTGTTCAGATAAGCACTAGATAATAATTTGTGCAGAAATTCAGTGTTCATATAATGTCAGGGAATAACTGGAGCAGTATGGCATTATTCTATAACCTTGTCTTGAGAGAATCTCAAAATCACTGTCATTCAATGAATCTTATTCACCATTTCCTCTGAGTGCATTGATTAGTTTAGAAATCTACCGTGTTCTTTGTTGCACAGATAAATTTTAGCTCCCCTCCCTCTCTCTCTCTCAATCTCTCTTTCTCAAACTTTTGCCCAGATAATTCAGAAAACCTTCCTCAGCATTTTCTTCTGTTTATCTTATTCCCATCTCTAAGCCTGATGCCAAGATTTCTATTTAAATGACCCCTTCTTAGAATGCTAAATTGTCAACCTTTAGAAAAGTTTCATTCATCTAACCTTCCTCAATTTTTTAGAAATTCAGAACAAAACCTTATTCAATATGCAGCCCTGAATTTACTGCCTTACTAACCAAACATTCTTTGTTGCTCTCACATTATGCAATTTTTCCAACGTTTGATTCATGTCAACAAATGTCTGGTGCTATTAATACTGGTTATTTTACATTATGTTTTATAATGAGCCAGCACTTTGCATGCTATCACATAAAAATATAGTTGATATTTTCAAACAATATCATTGTCTTGTTACAAATATTACATATGTGATCTTTTTGTTCCCACTACACCTGCAAATGCTTTATTAATAAAAAATTCCCAATAATACATGCCTATTATCAAGTTATTAAGACACAAAAGAAAAGTATACATTTCAGTTATATATATGTGTTGATGTGTTGTCTTATTCTTCCTGGTGATGCACTGGCACAAATACTGCTAAGTGTTTTGTTTATTCTATACTATTTGATGTTCTTATAAACTCTATGAATAATTAGTTTGCAATATGAGTTTCCTTGTAAAAAGTCAGTGAAGAGCAAATGCACATTTTAAAAATAGATACTGCTGAGAAACTTCTCTGTAAAAAAAAATGAAAATAACACTTACAGGAACCAGGAATTTTTTAATCTCTTCCAAAGCATGACTCATGCGTGAATAAGCTTCCCCAGGTGGAGCAAACACTTCAATTAATACATGAAGTTCATCACTCAAGTGGGCATATTTGGCTTCCCCACTCTTCCTTAGTTCTTCTTCCTGTGAAAGAAGTTATTTTTAGAAATAAAATCCACTCATTTTGCATTGATTTAACATTTATTGAGACTATGACAAGGGTATAATCTAAGCAAATTTTCCATAAGTAGAAACCCTTTGAGAAATACAAATCTGGTACAATCCATTTAAAGATTTTAAAATCATTTTTGAGTGAATGATTAAAAAAAAAAAACTGGCATAATTATCATCTACAACAGATTTTAATCAGCTAAATGAAAATGTTAAATCCCTGAAAAAAAGTAACAGACATGCCATTAACTCTTCCGTGTGCACCCCCACATTCTGGAGAAAAGGATTGTTTTTGTGACTGACAAGTAACATTTTGCAGATAATAAACCAAAGGTTATCACTGTGCTTTAAGAAAACCAGAATTTTCTAGCTACCTTTTGAGAAGTGGTGAAAGGTTACTTGTTTGCCATTAAAGGATGCAAAACCAAGGTTTATCTCCCAACCAGTTCTCACCGGCCCAGCTTATCATTGAGCTACACACCCACATCTTCTCCATTTGTTGCATCATTATTTTTTTTTTTATAATCCTCATCCAAGAATATTTTTCTATTTATCTTCAGATAGAGTGGTACGGAGGGAGGGAGGGGGGAGAGAGAGAGAGAGAGAGAGAAAGATGTGAGAGGAACACATCTACTGGTTGCATCTGACACGACCCCGACCAGGGCAAGGGATGAACTGTAACCAAGGTCCATGCCCTTGACTGGAATCGAACCCTTGACTCTTTGGTCCGCAGGCTGATGCTCTAACTGCTGGGCCAAACCAGCCAGGGCTGTTGCATCATTTTGATCAATAGGAGTATATTAAAGAGAGAGTGTGTTCACACTATTGGCATTGATTGTATATGAGCTACACATCCTCTGCTGAACTAACAAAGCATTCCCATTGGATCAGATTTTGCACAGTACTGCACCCAGGTGATTAGTGAGGGCTGATTAATTCAGCATAGGTGCAAAGCTCATCAGCATGTAATCCATATACCTTGCTCATGTGTGCTACATGTTTTCCACAAGTCGTTTCTAATATCACAATAACCTTGCACATTATTCACAGATTTCAGATTTAAAAACTCAGTTTAAAAAACTCAGTTGCTTCAGCAAAGTTGAGATTCAAACCTATTTTTGCAACCAGGTTTGCATTTTTCTTTTTTTCCTGGAATTCAGAAAAGCAAAATTTGGTTAAACAATTTACATAAATAATATGAATTATGTTTTAACTTTCTTCACCCCCCTCCTCAATTAACAAGCAGTTGTCTCATTACATTTCAAAGGATAAAAAGGTAATTTTTAGTTTTGTATGGAAATGAAAAGGAAAAAAATGAGCCGAGTAGACCTGATCTGTATAAACAAAAGCTACTTGGCTGTTGATTTTAGATGAATTACCTGTATGGCCCACGTGAATGTGTTTATCTGATTAGAAATGGCCATCATTTCAACACACAGAGGGTCCATGGCAGAGATGGGAAGGCCTGCCTGCTTCCCTGATCACCGTCCCCGACTCAGATCTCTGGACTAGCAGCACCTGTTAGCCTGGCTGTCCACTCTCCACTCCTCAAAGCTTACTCTCTCTCTCTAACTAGGAGTTTTATTTTTAAAAGTTTTTCTTAGCTCCCAATTCTCAGTTTGGGGATGAGACGCAGCACTTGACTAAAGGAATATGCACCCTTGGGTGTAAGAAACATTTCTTTCCTCTTTGGGTTCTGCTGGGAGGCACGCTCATTTACCACAACTGCCGGAGTAGTTAAACCCCAGGCTTCCTGATTCCGACTCCTCAGAACTTCCTAAACTGATTTCCAGCTGGTTATTAAGGGTTACTTGTTAGCCAAACGTTATAAGGTCTGCATGCTATGAGGTGTGGCATTCCAATAAGAACTGTGACACTTATTTTAAAGTGTCTCAAATAAAATGAGCCTGATTAGATATGTCTGCAGTTGAGCCAAATAGCTGATGTTGTAAACTAAGGCAGTTTGCTATTTGAAAAGACATTTGCCTCTCTCCTCCCCCAATCTTTTATATAAACAGATGAGGACACCGAGGTCCTTAGAGATTAAGCAACTAACTAGGGGTCAAGTGTTAGTTGAGATTGCAGCCAGGACTCGATCAAGAAGTGATTAACACTGAAAAACTTCAGAAGGCAAGTTCACACAGCAGAACCTATTATGCGCTGCTACAGGTGATTTTCAAAACTAGATTTTATATCTCCAAACGTGTGTTATGTTTGAACTCACTCATTGGGGTGCCTTTTAACAACACAACATGTCCCAAGATTTAATTCCTTCATCTGTGAAATTAAAATAATATTACTTATCTCACAGGATTTTGTGAGCTTTGAGACAATTGAAGAACGTTTTGTATACTAAAGAAATGCAATACAAATTTATTCCAAAAAATATTACTTTCTCTATTCTTAAGCAGTGTCTTAAAATGTTTGACTGTTTCAACAGGACCACAATAAATGTAGTTGAAACAAGTAGAAGGGTTATTTCTCTCTCAGGGAAACATCTAAGCTGTAGGTAGCTCAGGGAGCAGGTTGTTCTTCTCTGTATCCAGGGAACCAGGTTTCTCCGCTCTTAACTCATCATATTTCATTAGTTATTTTATAAAGAATAGCATGGAGATAGTCTAACTGGATCTGCATTTGTGCATTTAACTGGTAAACTAATTTTTAAGCAAACTTTCTCATAGGAATTATCATTTATATTTTATCTTTTACAAAAGAAATGTTTCTGACTTGGAAATAATTCAACAATTAGAAAATTTTCCTCTTAATTCAAAATAGCATGCTTATTAAAGAAAACCTGAAAAAATATCCCCAAAAGTACAAGTTTTTTTTTTTTTTTTTTTAATCAACAACCACACAATTCAAGATACACTTTTAGCTTTTCCAATGTATTTTCTTCAAGTCCTTTTTACAACAATAATAGTAATGAAATAGAACTCATAATTTTGATGTTGCTTTTTAGGTGCAAGGTACACAAAGTACTTCCCATGAATTCTCTCATTTTATCCACATAACTATACTTCCTGTTGGATAATGTTATTTCCCTCATTTTACTGATGAGGAGACTATGGCACAGAGAGAAACTTTTCCAGAGTTACAGAGTATGCATCACAGAGTCGGACTGCCATCCAGATAATCTCATATCCAAAGGCCAAGTTGTTGGTGTGTTGCTAGTACAGATATACAAGCACAAGTGAACTTTCTATACATTTGGATTTCCCCATGGGTATCTCTCTTTTCTAGAAGACCTCAGCCAGTGGTATCTCAGCATTTCCTGGTATCCAGACCCAAGGAGCCCTGTGCTCTGCAGGTTAGCCTACAGCAGATTACAGGTCCTCATACAACAAGCACATCTGCCCTGAGTTTTCTTTTCCCTCGCCCAGAACATTCGGATTTAGTAGCTGTGTACCCATCTCTACGGGAGAAACTACTACTCTCAAGGTTCTCACTCACCTCCTCTTTGAAGGGCTTACCTACAAATGCTAGTGATCTCACATCACACTGTTGATCCCTAACTCTCCGTTGGCAACCATCAGTTATAAATAAGACATGAATCCAAAGTTTTTAAAGTTGAGCTCAGATTAGTTTGCACAATTTCTCATGAATATTCATGTTGCATTCATAACACAAATGGGCTTCAGGAAAGGTCTTCTTTATTTCCCTGCCCAGTGGGGCAGGGTCATTAGGACTTCCATACCCTGATTCTATGTTGAGGGGTAAGGACTTAAGTCAGCTCTCAACTGGGTATTTCACCTTAGTTCAGATAATTCAAGACAAATTCCCCAAACAGGACACAGGATCAAATGTCCCCTTGTGCTCCGGTACTGAGTCCAGCCATTTGGTTCCTGGATTTGCCAAACATCCATTGTAATATAAAACTCAACATTTCTTAAAATACCTGAAAAGACCCACTCTCAAAATCACTTATGGGTGACAGAGACTTCAGTTAAAATATCAAAGTGCACGAAGCAAAGAGGTCACACTGATAATCTTGTCACAGAAAACTAGAAAAAAAAAAATCCTTTTCCTCTTGCCCCAAGCTTTTTTCTGCTTCATTACACAATTTTAATTTTTTCCTCTTCTATCTCTAATTCTCATATTACTCTCCCCTCCCACCTGAAATTTCCTGGGGAATTTCAAGTTATTTTCACCTCTATTAAACAGAGTAATTTAGTTATTAAGTGATAATTTCCAAGCTTACATGTCCAGCTCATTATGAAATAAAGGGGATACCAGTTAATTGACCATTCTTATAAGTCACAGTGAAATCACACACACACATACACACACACCCCAGTACTCTTTACAGTGGGATTCTAGTGAGAGTAAGTATTTCCAGTTTGTCAAATTAAGAATAGTAATCATCTGCATCTGCTTTGGGTATTTTTTAAATAATATGCTATAAGTCATTCATAATATGATGTAGACCATAAATTCCTTCTTTGTGCTCTTCCAGATTTTGATACTTTGTTCTTCCAGAGTTTTCTGAAAGGAATACCATTACCAACACCACCAGCAGACAGAACACCTGAATCACTGAGCTGATATCTTCCTCATCATTTTTTAAACACCTGTGTGTTCATCTAGATGTATATATAATATGTAACATCATATACCTGTTATCTTTCTTAAATATTAAATTAGAGAAGTAGTCCTTATGTCATCCACTTAATTGACTCACCATATAAACCAAATATTTATTCTCTTAACATATGTAAACTGCCCTGGCCAGTTTGGCTCAGCAGTAGAGTGTCGGCCATGGTCCAAAGAGTCATAGGTTCGATTCTAGTCAAAGGCACGAACCTCTGTTGCAGTTCACCCCCAGCCCTGGTTGGGGTTGTGCAGGAGGCAGCCAGTCGATGTGTCCTTGTCATGTTGATGTTTCTCTCTCTCTCTCCCTTTCTCTACCTCCCTTTCCATTACACTCTATCTGAGGATATATATCTATATCTATATATCTACATCTATATATCTAT